CTAATATATAAAAGAAAAAAAAGTAAATAAAAAACTACATTTTCAGCTTGATTTGCTTTTGAAATATAAAATTATTAAAATTAATTTTAATTACTTTAATTCTAAATTGAATCACATATCAATTGAAATGTTGAAGCATGTCTGTAAGGCTTTTATTTAATTAAGTCAAAAACGGAAATGTTTCCCCCAATTATTTTTAAATTTTGTCGCTCTTTAGTTTTAATTAAATTGTTTCTTTATGTTAATTTAACTGTTTCTTTATATTAATACTCTCTGTTTCCGTTTAGGTTAAACCATAAAAGTTTAATGAATTGAAGTAAGAATTGTAAATCAGTTTTGCTCTAGATATTTTTCACTCAGCTTTCAGTTCTCTAAAACAAACAACTTTCTCTCTCTTAACTCGTTTTCAGAATTTTACAATCCAAATAGTCTAATACATATTTCTAAAATACCATTGTCCATTTCTTATTCGCTCTCCAGTGTGCCTTAAAGGGCGATAACAAATGTATTCTGATTGTAAAACTGTTGTATGACTCAAAACTGAGGATGATTATTATGCAGCGCATGCCATTTAGATTGAATTGAATTACTTTAAGCTTGACTCGAAGTCAGGAAGCTTCAGGCAGGGGCTTCGGGGCGTGACTATGACGACGTTGACGTCGTGCACAGCTTGTGAATGCGAGCAGGCAGAAGCAGCTGATCGAGCATTTGCATTTAGAAAGTGAGCTCAACTCAGCTCAGCTCAGCTCAGCTCTGATCTGCTCAGCTCAGCTTTGCTCTGCTCTGCTCAGGTCGGCTCGGTTCGGTTTGGTTCGGTTCTGTTCGAATTACAGAGGAAAAGCGAATAAAATTTTCAATACTCACTCTGGCAGCGGGCTTCGGCTTCGGGCGACTGCTGCGATCACAGTTTGAGATGCAACTGAAAAGCCAAAGCTGAAAGCGAAATCATTGAGAGTTTCACAGACACAGACAGACAGACAGACTGACAGACAGACAGACTGAACGATGTCTATGGGCTCTGTGCAATCAGCTACCATTGGAAATGGGTAAAGAGGGTATATCGTTTACAGCCAAATCTACGCAGCAGGCAGAAGAAGACAATGCCAATCTGTCAGATCAATCAATAAATTAATAAATTAATAAAGTAAATTTTAAATATTTATATGAATTTATATCATTTATATAAATTATTTATAGCGCATTTGGCAAGAAAATAAACTTTTAAATTATATACAGAAAAAAGTTATTAAAAATATATATTTATATAGCATATATATTCAAAATTCACTGAACGAACTTTGCCTGACTTTGATTTTTGTTTGTCTACCAAAGTGCAAGAATAGAGGGTATGGTCTAGTCGTGTACTCCCTGCTAGTGCTCTCCTGCTTGCTTTGCTGTTGTTGTAGTTGATGAAAAGCGACTGAGCCGGTTTAAGCGAAGTTGTTTCTGTCGCCGTTTTACACACTTTACACAATATTTTCCTTGTTATCGCAATACCCTGTAAACATTTAATTTATAAAAGGTGTATGCACACATAGAGAATATTG